TAGGATGACTGTGAAAAAGAAATCTAGAGAGGGCAAAGAAAAGCTTTGAGCAGGATGTGAGGTGCCTTTTCGTGGGATTCACAGTATCTTTGTTAAAATGCATGAGCATCTCCAGAGAAAACACCAGCTACTAAATTACACCTCTCTCAATTGCATCTTTCTTGTAGGGCAAGAAAGAGCAGCTGGAAGCTCAAGCCAGGACTAGGGTGGATGGCTGCATTTCACCTCTGCTGGCAGGAGAACGTGGAGTTGTTTGAAGGGCATGGGCAGATCATGCAGTGGTTCCCACTTATGACACACGTTGCTTCTYGTGGTTGGCGAGGTCCTCAAGAGCAGCCCAACGCTGCATGTCTTTATGTTGGAGCCAGAGGTTGGCAGCCAGCTTCATCTCTTCACAGCTGCTTGCTGCACCCTCCGTGTCTTTTTCATCTGCACTATTATTTCCCAWTAAACAAATACTGTCTAGCAAGGTCCCACATTAACAAGTCCATATGGTGYTGTATGCACTCATGCAAGGTGGGCTGAGGAAGATGGTGCTTAGCCAGGTTTTCCCAGCTTCAGGTGAAGACCCCGAGGACTGAACAGAGGCYGTTAAATGAGTTATAGCACCAGGCTAAGATGGCCAGGCCACATCCAGACTGGGCGCAGCCCTCTCGTGCTTCCAACTCAGAGTTCACGCAGGAGAATAGGCAGTTCAGGTCGGCCTACACCAGCAAGCTAGATGTGCCCTTTGGCTATCAGTTTTGTAGGTGTGGGGCTGCACCCTCCCAAGGAACCTACGCACTCGGCTTGCCTACAGCCGTGACAAGAGGCAAAAATATCCGGCTCCTCCGAGGGATGAAAGGCAGACACTCAAGGGATTAAGTCCCCAGGCTCTTTCCTTCCTTTCAGAGCTGGTGAACCATGCAGCAATGCATGTCAGCTGTGTTGGTTTTGCGTCGGGCGCCAGAACAATGCAGCCTGTCTTTCCTGGTGTGCACCTCCAGGGAGGATTCCCACAAGGGTTCCTYTGAACAGGGCAACGTAGGTGGAAAACCAAAGAGAAAAGCCCTTCAACTTTTCACCCTCCTGAAGTTTACAAATTGCACTGAGTTTATGTCACCGTGAATGACTCAAAAGGCATCTCACAGAGCACTTCTTGCCCACGCTGAACGTGCCTCTACACTTTGTCATCTCCTTCAAGTGTTCGTCCCATTCCCACCATGGAGAAGGACGACCAGGCAGGAGGCACCTGGGGGTGGTTTCCTGTGGATGAGCATATCTGCAGTGGTAGTCAATAAAGAAAAGCAGCCAGGTCCAAAGGCCTAGCCACGTCTGCAACAGATGATGAGCTGGACCTACCTGAGCTGACAGCAGCTTCCACAAGCATGGAGAGGTGCGGACTTGTTCCCTATGTCCATTCACCTCCAAGCGACCTCAGACATTTTCTGTATCTGGAACTATGGTGGCAGGAGTACTTCTCTCACCAGAGTATTCATGCTCAGCGTGGCTGCTGCTTGGGAGCAAGCAGATGCACTGGCTCTCTTGTTTCTTCAAGTGATAGAAATGGACCACAGAAGAGACAGATTTGTTCCAGATCACCCATGAAGCCTGTGGCAAAGCAAGGAACTGAACACAGCTACCCCAGKCTCAGCCCAACACCTCTGCTGCAGAAGGACTCCTGTCTAGTCAAGGAGAACCAAAAACATACGGAACAATATATGTCTGTACAAGGACACAGAGATCCATCTACATGTAATTAGACCTCTTCAGTTTTTGTTTCAATACATCATTGCTTTAGKGTTGTTTTGTTGATTTTTTTCTTTTTAAGACATTTTCTACTAGTCACTTTGCTGAGTGTTGGCCTGTTCTTGTGTAAGGTTACCCAGAGCTCATGGTCCACAGCATCTCTCACCTCTCTTAGAAAAAGCTTCTACCTAACATACTGCACCTACAGAGCACATCCATGAATTTGGGACAAGTTCATTGCCAAACATGAAGTTCTCAGGAAAGACAATCTATCTGTTTTCATACATGGAGAGAAATGATCATTCTCCAGGTTCTGATATTAGCAGTCCTCACTGCTTGATGTAGACAGAAAAAAAAACCTGGATACACTTGGACACTAATGAGTGAGTATTCACAGCGTGATGTAGGCATTAATGCCACCGTTTTCTGAGTCAGTCAGGTCTGAGGGCACACCATCACACTAGCCCCAAAACAGGATGTAAATCCACACTAGACTGAACTACTGGCCACAGGATGGCACAGAGCCAGCTCCCRGGAGGAACACGTGTCTGCACCATCTGTATTGTTGTGCACTTTGGTGAAGAATTTAGGGTTTTCAAGGAACAAGGCTGGGAATCAGGAGCCCTCTCCTGCTGAGATCCCACCCTGCTGCTCACCAGCTACAAGCTATTCCTCCCACATGTATTGTGTAAGACCTTCTGTACCTTCACCCACTGCCACCACCACTCAGTTGCAAGCAAGCACAAGCCAGGAGGCAAAGTATAAAATATAAACCTTCATTAACAATTTTGTAAGAAGTCCATGAGGCCAAAATAACAGAGGATGTAATAGAGCCATAAATATCTCCCACAGCCATAAACACTTCTACCTGTTGCTGCCTGGGCATTTATAAGTGCTTGAGGCGTTTGGGGCTGTGTTTGCACTTATTCCAGCGTCTACCAACCACGAAGCCAGTGGTAGACATGGCACCAGGTACAGACGCAGCCGCCAGGCTGGTTTTATGGTGTCAGCCTGGACACGTCTCCTGAATTAGCACTTCTGTTTCAACCAAGTGACATGTAGCAGCTCTAGCTGAGCTCAGGGCCTGCTATGTTTAAGTGAGCGGAGACTATGAGGAGTCTCAGAACTTCTTCGGCGTAAATGAGATGAAAGGGAGGAAAAAAACTACCTTTCCTGAAGACTAGGGAAGAAAAAATTACGAACAAAACAAACAAAAAAGGCTTTCTCCTAACCAAGACCAGCATTACTGCGCCTATCCACAACCTTCCCACTGGATGTTTTCTTGAATGTCTCAATAGAGCCAAAAAGCCTCTGGAAAGTGGAGAACACTTCTAAGGTCTCTAAGAAGCAGGCAAGGGAATCCTCAGGAACACCAGCCCACTGCGTAGTCTCCCTTGCTRACTCCAGGAACATGGAAAGACTTCTGCTATGCTCAGAAACTCCTTCAGTCTGTCTACCTAGCATGAGTTGCATAGGGCATAAGCCCTTATGGACCTTTATGTTTTGAAAAACAAAAACAAACAAACAAGAAAAGAGATATTTATATTTTTGAAAAGAGCCCTTGTCTTCTCCGTGTATTCATCCTCCTTCCTGGGTCTGGAGCTACCAGATACCAAAAGGCATCATTGACTTCACATCCCACTCGCTAAAGGAGCACAGAGCCACAGCAGGAGAGATTTAGCAGTGAAGATAGGGACCAACCAGCATCATGGCATGAGCCTAGGTGGTCAAGAGGGCTCCAGATTAGAGTATTCCCACCCACAAGAGGCAGCCTCAGGACTTTCCCTTCATGACCCAAAAGAGGCAGCTTTCCCTAAATAAGGCACCATCTCCACCCAAGTCTCAGAGCCATCCTCAGAGCCATCCTCAGAGCATCCATGAATTTCTGTAAGACTCCTTCTCAGACATTCACCAGTCCTCTCCATCTCACTCCAGCACATTTCCAACCTTCCAAAGCATCTTTCCATAGTTAAATTCTCCTCAGAGCTTCCCCGGGTGCTACTACAACAGTTACAGAAGATGGTGTTCAGGTTTATGGATGCAGGATATGCTTAGGGTTGGGTAGCCTGATCTGAGAAGACCTGAGAAGAGGTCTCATGTGCTTAAATGAGAGAATATCTCTTAAATACTGGCAGATGTCAGCAACAGAGACGGACACAGGCCTAAACTGTTCTAAATGACTTCTGAGCTTCTTGCTATGAAGTTACATCTTGTACTGAGACCAGAGGCCCAGAGAAGAGTCAGCAGAGTCATCTGCCAAATGCCAGGGAGACATTTCACTACAGACGTTTTTGCTTAAGCTACTACTTTTACCACGTGGAGAGCAGAGGTGTCTGCTCCTCACTCCTTTCAGTCTTTGCAGGGCATTGCCAAAGCGATCTTTGAAGGAGGGCAAGGGAGGGTGGTAGGCAAGAAACCATGACTCATCCCCAGAGGAACCCCAAGGTAAGTGACATTTGGAAGCCTTAATCATGACCTTGTGAACAATGGGTGAATCAGAAAGCTGAACTTTACATCACTCCCCCAGATTAATGTGGCCTTGGACACCTCTTTCAAGATCCCAGGCCAAACATTATTTAGTTCCTCCCCGAGATGATTCAGAACTAAGATTAACAGGGGAGAAAGCACCAAGCCAAGCTGAATTATTTGCAAAGCTTGGTTAAGCAGAAAACGTTTTTCCTTGTCTATGACTCGAAGATCACATTATCCCACTATTATATGTCCTTTTTGAGTTTTTTCGTAAATATTGAGAGGAATGAGGGAAAAGAAAGAAGCAAAAGGACAAATAGGTCATTTAATAGAGAACTCATATGAGATATGAGAGACTGATTTTAATTCAGCATTGCAKGAATCAGACACAGAAATTGAACCTTGGTGACCAGTGCACCAGACTGGCCTGACCTTAAGAACCACCCAAGTACACATGACAATTTCATCCTGCTGGGGACATCAACAAATTCACCAGCTAGATCTCCACAAAGAAGTTCTTATTTCAATAAATTAATGTTTTACGGAGAAATACTAAAATAGTCTCCGGGACTATTGCAAKTTTTCATTAATTTTACAGGGAACAAAAAGGACCACATTCAGAGCCACTGAGAATCTGACTTTTCCCGTCTTTATCTCTATATTATATCATAAAAGCTAGGAGGCAAGGTCAGAGTATTAACAACAAATACTCCATTTTGCTACAGAGAAAAGGTAGGTACCACTTACTCTTTTTACTAATCCKCCATATAATGGAAAAGAATCAGAACAACCTCAGACCATACCTTCAGCTTCTAGCATCAAACCAGCTCTGAGTCAAATCTTCTCAACCAAAATCCCAGCATACCTGCTAGGCCTTTCTTAATTATCTTTAAAAAAAAAAAAAAAATGCTGATGATTTGCCACATTAATTCACTGCACCTGAGGTCTCCCCAGCTAACACTACTGTGAAATTCTCACCTACTTTGGTTATGAGCTATACCTTCTAGGAAGTGAGACCCAAAAATAGAAAGCTCAGCAGAATCCAGCTAGGACCTGCCTGTCCTATTCTGCATCAGCCAATACAGAGGAATTTGCCTAGCGGAATTTAGGTTTGCAAGGAGCAGAAGTGGATGTTGCTACTGCCTCAGCAATTGCCTTTGCTGGAGGAGAACGGGCTGGAGGTGGTRGGGCTGGAGATCCGCCAGCAGGCAGCTGCAGCCTGAGATGGCATCACGGTAGGACCCAGGCTACGTGAGTCACCCTTATTTCCAGTAACAACCACCTTTTTCTGCTCAAGTTGCATCTCTCTGGGCCACTCTCTTTGCTTTCGTTGCAACCAGGCTCATTAAAAGGGTGGTTAACCTGTGCAGAACACCTGAGCTGGCTACTCCTAATGTACTCCRGGGATGCAGAAGGGCTTAGAGCTCCAGGCTGCTGTAGCCAGGGTGCTTTTATTAGCAGTGAGCTAATTAACTATCCCTTTATTTTGCCAGGCATATATGTAATGGTGAGTCCTGGTGCATCCTTCATTTCTTTTACATTTTGCCTCACCTGATGGGCGTTTTTATTTCTTTGCAGTTTGACTGTGGCAGTTTCGTCCACAAAATCCCAGTTTCCCAGTTCTGATTTTTGTGAGGACTGCAAAGCCTGGTGTGGCTACTTTCCATCGCTGTGGCCACACCACTGGGCCATGTTTCATCTCATCCAGCTTTAGCATCTAACCTAAACTGTCTGCTTAGGCTTTCTCCCTAGCCAAGGGAAAGAGACTAGCACTTCCAGCAGGTAATTAATCTCAGCTGTCTTAGCCACTCATTGCAGCATGGAATAAACTCACTTCTGGAGATGCTGGTCTTTCTCCGTTTTCTATTAGCAGAGCCAAAACAGGGCTGGCTCACCTTTAGATGTTTGAAAGCTAGACACGGTGGGTCCCTCCACTGGTCCCCTTGCTATTTTCTTTTTAACAATTAAAAGGTGGCCAAGGTTTACTCATGGAGCGTCCCTTGGGAGGCAGGACACCCAGATGGTGGCTATGTAACAAAAATTGATCTTCAAAGTCCTGTGTGGATGCCCACATTTGAATAGTATTTTCAAGAGCTGCATAGGAAGGCTTTGTGGGACAAGCTCAGGAAACCGCTAGGCTGAAGAGAGGGAAGTGATGAAAATGGCTCTGGCTGCTGGYTCTCCACAGTGGACATTAATGGAAAAATACAATTCTGTTAGCAGAAATACAGCTATGGTAGGTGATCGAACTGGATCGCTGCCTTAATAACTTAGAAATAATGTCCGAGCTATATTTCTATTGCTCACTGATATAATAACAGTCTCTGTGAGCTATGTAACATCAGACACTACCTAAATGCCTAGGTTGGCTTCATCTCAGCTTGCTGAACTCCGGTACAGACTTTACTTTCGAATTTTTTCCCTTTATGAAAGGGAATCCCTTTATGAAAGGCTGCCTATCTAAGCTAAGCTAAGGTAAGTCACAGCCTAGAATCACCTATGGTTTCTAAAGACAGTCTGGACAACCTGYTCAGGTACAGAAATCCACAAAAACRGAAGAGTTCATGGCAGCAGTATCTATTGACACAAACTGCCCTTGCAGCATAGGTTTCCCTAAAGGAAAGGTGACACCAAATGCAACTGCAACCCTCCCCACCAAAACCGTACAGAGCTCTCTGCCAGTGCAAGCCTAGCCCTAGAGGGACATGCACCAAATTACATCAATGTCAGAAGTAAAACATCACGCAAGCAGCACACAGAGGATTTGGGAGCTACAGGAGGAAGACCCATCTGTCACTCTTTGCTGTCAGCTCCTATCCAGACCTTTCATTTCGTAATACTGCTCTCTATTATCAGCACTATACGTATCATCCAGACAGCCCTGCAGGGAACCAGGTCCCACAGCAATGTACAGAATGAAAACAGAAGAGATTACTGGTCTATAGAAACACAACAGCCTGACTGATGAGTTCCTGATGAGTTCCTAGAGGACTTGCTTCAAGCTATATGTCTACTCAGGCACCAGCTAAACTTCCATGGTAGCATGTTTGGGGGCTAGCAATAGGGAACAGGGATGGAAAAGCCTCACGAGCCAGTGACCATTGGCTCAAGGTGCATTTCCTCCTACTCGCAGGCTACGAAGCAAGCGCACACAGGTCCTGCAGAACCCTGCAGGAACACAGCRTTTTCCTGCCCTGCATTTACACAGCTCACGAGAACTGACGCCAACAACCCATTACTCCTCACTTTCTCACTGCCTTCGATTTCATAGCCTAATCTCCAGCTTAGCCTACACGGAACCACAGAAGAACAAACAGTGGCCACCCGCCTCTCCCCTCCTCCCTCCCCGGGCGCGCGAGCTTCTATTTATGGGTCGCCTGGGGAGAAAACAGTCGTGGCCATTGTATTTGTTTAAGGGTTTTCTGTAATTTCCTTGGGTTTGACTGCAGCCTCTGAGGTTAACCACAGCCAGCTATTGTGGCTGTGTCTTCATCATTCCCTATTGTTCCGCACTAGGTGGCTCTGCCTTGTTTTCTTGGAAGGTCAAGAGATTGTTTGTCATTTCTGGCCCTAGGTTCAATAGGGAAAGGGTGATGGAGGGGAGGAAAGAGGGGAAAAAAAAAAAAAAAAAAAAAAAAAAGCTCCTTTTTTAGGACTGTGGGTTTCTGAGAAAGACCAGTGTCACTGACCAACCAAGGTCAGCCTGAGGTTGCTTAGATGGTATTTGTAACAGCGGGAGTCTGTAACGAGCCTTCTACTTTGATAGGATTCCCTTAAGGGGTTTTGAGAAAAATTTGAAGAATCCTCCACTTATGGCTTCTTCCACTGAGCTGCTCTGAAAGTCGTTCCTCCTGAGAGAAGGAGCAGAGGGCCATACCATATAAAGTCTTTCCCCTGCCCCTGCTGCTGCAGGATTAGCCACATTTGCACCGAGTCCTGACCTTTTGCTACCGTAACGCTGAGCTTCGCGGTGCTGCCAAGAGGCGATCCTTTTTCTGGCTTCCAGTTCTGCTCCCTTATGGGAGGACCCAGTCATTCTCCAGCCACATAGAGACAAATTCTTCCCAGCTTGTCTCTGTCAGTGCCTAAGACTGGAAACTTACCTCATCGTCATGGATGCGTCCTGGAGCCAAAGGCTTGCAGTCTGATTCATGCCTAGAGGGAAAGGAGGAAACAGGAGAGGGTGAATCCATTGACTTTGCTGGAGTCGCACCAAGCAGTCAACAAGAGGAGCGCTGTAATGTAGTCCATAGGACATTAAACAAGGAACTGGGAATTCTGGCTTCCAGCGTCGGTACCACAACTTGCTTTTTGAGTCTAGGTAATGCCATTCTGTTCCAGAGCTTTAATTCCCTTTTCCCTTTCCCAAGTGATTACTTGCTCTTAATGTCTGCCCCAAGGAACGTATTGAAGCATTCAATCAGGTTAGTCATTTTGGCCTCTCTTCGTCAAAAGTGGGTTTGAGAGAACTATCGTTGGAGAAAGCRCCTTGTCTCTGTCTAAAGTCACTGGCTACGCTAAGAGGAGGATAGAGATGACTCCTCTTCACCTATCARTGGTGATCACCTGGCCATCTTCCTCACCCTCAATGGAAGGTGTAAGGTGATCCAATCAGACAGAGGTCTCAGGAGGTAGCAGCTGTYTGGTGATGAGTATATCTCTCTTAATGGGAGGCCAAAACCAACCTGCTCATTGTCAAAGGACAAGAACTGTCCAATTCTGACAGCACAGGGATCTCTTCTGGGATCCGAACTGAGAGTCCAGGCAGTTTGAAACCTGTCAGTCAATCACATTAATTATGACATAGTACTGGAGGATTTATATCACTGCAGAGCACAGTAGACATTTAACAAAGGATATAGAACAGCTGTACTAAGAGGCTCCCAGCCAACTGAATATAATAAAGGTAAAGAAGAAAATTTGTTTCATGAAGAAGCTGGCAGAACCAGTGGAGGTGAGAGCAAATTTAAAGCCAAAAAAATAAGAAGAGGAGGAGTCAGGTTGACCTTAGAGTTTCTATTAGCACTGCTGAAAAGAATGAACAGAAGATTTAGTGGGGGAACAAAGAAGGATCAAGGCTGTGGATGGACAGACTAGACTTGGTCATGCAGGGAGCAGCAGCATCACATAGACCAGCAGAAGAAYAAAACTCATCCTATCTGGACCTTTCATTTTGTTATACTGCTCTCTRTTATCAGCACTGTACGTATCATCCAGACATCCCTGCAGGGAACCAGGTCTCATAGCAATGCATAGAATGAAAATAGAAGGAAAGARATTACTGGGCTATACCCCTCAGCCATCCTAGCTGAAGGGTCAACCTAAAGCACTCCCATCGGTCACTTCCAACAGGAGATATCCAGAGCCTGACAAAAAACATACCATCACATACCATCARGCACAGGACCTTTCTCCATGACATCCTGGGTCCTGCTTGTGCCCACTAAAACGGAAGACTAGCTGTAAAGTTAGCTTAATAATTTTAATTTTATCCAAACGTCTTAACTCCCCTTCCCCACCTGCAAACCCACCACCATCACGTATAACCATGAGATTTTCTGAAAAGCTCAGCACATATTTAGTCACCAGGAGAAGCAGCTAATGCTCCTCAAAGACGGTCAGCTCTGCAGCCACGGGGATCAATAGAAACCTCAAGTACCTTCATCTGTTGTGAACTAAGTTTTGCCYGAGCACTTGGACATCAGTGCCGGCAAGTCTGGGCTCAAACGAGCTCTGCTGTCAGTAGCATCAGTGGCACACACTGACAATACGACGATGAGTATCGGAGGATTGCAAAGGATGTTTAGAAAAGCYGGAGGGCCCAGCAATGGGATGGAAGGAAGGGTAATCTGGTGGTGC